ACCATATAACTGAGGCAGACACATAGTGGTGTGGGGCGGAGGGGGTCAGGCCACCATTATTAGTTATGCTAACTTTGATTACTTGATTCAGATGGGGTCTAACATATTGGTTCACTGTAAAAATACTCCTTTCCCTTTGAAATTAATAAGCAACAAGTAATTAATAAGCTTTGAGGTGGTGTACATAATCTACATCCTTAACAGAATTTCGCCCAATGATTTTAGCATTCATTTGTGATTTCTGCCAGAATTCTGGTGGTTACGAGATAATGATTTTTAAAATAATTCTGGCCAGGTGCGGTGGCTCACATCTGTAATCCCAGCATTCTGGGAGGTCGAAGTAAGCGGACTGCTTCAGCCCAGGAGTTCGAGACCAGCCTGAGCAACATGAGGAAACCTCGTCTCTACAAAAAATGCAAAAATTAGCTGGGCATGGTGGTGCATGCCTGTAGTCCTAGCTACTTGGGAAGCTCAAGCGGGAAGATCACTTGAGCCCAGGAGGTCAAGACTGCAGTGAGCTGGGATTGTGCCACTGCACTCCAGCCTGGGTAACAGAGCAAGACCCTGTCTCCAGAAATAAAAATAAAAAAATCTCTTCTTCATATATTAGTCAGCATTTTACTGTAAAGAAGAGCTTTCTTTTTTCCTTCCTCATGGCTACTATTTTTTACTTACCCACTCATGTATACTAGTCAGTATCTGTAAAAGCTCATGCGTTCCTTTATACTCAAAGTATTCAAATGTATTACCACCATTCTTCATTTTAATACTTCCACCTAATTTGCCTAGGTCAGTTCCTTATTGTGTTTCTATTTGAGTGGCTTTTGTGGCTGGAGATACTCCACAGCAAAACCTTCTAAGGGCTTCTCTTGCCTCATAGTAAATCTGTTTTTTTTGAGACAGAGTTTCGCTCTTGTTTTCCAGGCTGGAGTGCAATGGCATGATCTCGCTCACAGCAACCTCCACCTCCTGGGTTTAAGCAATTCTTCTGCCTCAGCCTCACGAGTAGCTGGGATGACAAGTGCCTGCCACCATGCCCAGCTAATTTTTTTGTATTTTTACTAGAGATAGGGGTTTCACCATGTTGGCCAGGCTGGTCTCGAACTCCTGACGTCAGATGATCCACCCGCCTTGGCCTCCCAACATGCTAGGATTACAGGTTTGAGCTATCACGTCTGGCCTGCCTCATAGTAAATCTTGACTCACTGCCTCCTTCTTCCTACCTGTGTTCCTTTTTGTGGATGGTGTGTCTCTGGCCCTGGCTTAGTCATCGTTTTCTGGTTCCTTCTTAAGTTGGCTTGGACCCGCTTCTGAGCCACCCAAGCACTCTACACAGCCTCACCCCACCCTCCATCCCTCACCCGCACCCTCCATCCCTCACCCTCCATCCCTCACCCGCACCCTCCATCCCTCACCCTCACCCTCCATCCCTCACACTCACCCTCCATCCCTCACCCTCACCCTCCATCCCTCACCCTCACCCTCCATCCCTCACCCTCACCCTCCATCCCTCACCTCACCCTCCATCCCTCACCCTCCATCCCTCACCCTCATCCTCCATCCCTCACCCTCACCCTCCATCCCTCCCCTCACCCTCCATCCCTCACCCTCCATCCCTCACCCTCACCCTCCATCCCTCACCCTCACCCTCCATCCCTCACCCTCACCCTCCATCCCTCACCCTCACCCTCCATCCCTCCACCCTCTGTCCCTCCATCCCTCCCCTCACCCTCCGCCCTCACCTCACCCTCCCATCCCTCACCCTCACCCTCCCATCCCTCACCCCTCCATCCCTCCCCTCACCCTCCCATCCCCTCACCTCCCACTGCCTCTCCATCCCTGGTTACCTGCTTCTCATCTATGATGCTGCCTAGTCATTGCACCCCTCACCCTCCATCCCTCACCCTCACCCTCCATCCCTGGTTACCTGCTTCTCATCTATGATGCTGCCCTGGTCATTGCAGCATTAGCAGTCCCTGAGACTGAGTAGCTACTCAATGAATATTTGTTTAATCAATGGGCAAAGGAATAGTCCTAAACCATTAGAAATAAATTTTTGAGCAGTGTGGCTACACAATGGAGAAGTGGTGTTTATTCTTTCACAGAAAATGCTTGGGGATAAAAGAAAATGTTCACCTGTAATCCCAGCATTTTTGGGAAGCCAAGGCAGGTAGATCACTTGAGGTCAGGAGTTCGAGACCAGCCTGACCAACATGGTAAAACCCTGTCTCTACTTAAAAAAAAAAAAAAAAAAAAAAAAACGAAAACAAAAATTAGCCCGGCGTCATGGTGTATCCCTGTAATCCCAGCTACTCGGGAGGCTGAGGCAGGAGAATCACTTGAACTCGGTAGGCGCAGGCTGCAGTGAGCCAAGATTGCGCCACTGCACTCCAGCCTGGACGACAGAGGGAGACACCCCCCGCAGACAAAGAAAAGAATGTTCTCAGATACCAGCTGAAATGTAGGCCTTTGCTAGAGAAATACACTTGCTGTATTTGTTCGGTAGAGATTTTCTTCCAAGATCACTGCCCTCACTGCCTCTGCCCTCGGGGCCTGACCATTTCTTTGGGATGACAGTAGTGTCAGCTGAAAATTGTATGATGTGATGAAGCTCAACAGAGCTACAAACAGAGTGCTAACAATAGGGCCTAGAAGGAAAACCAACTGCCTAAAAGACTTAATAGTTGACATTTGGGCTGTAACTTGAAAAATAAGCGAGATTCTCCCAGAAGTAGACATTGAAGTAGAGGAAGCACATTTGAGGCCAGGGGACTCACACCCATTAGGACCCAAGTGCTCAGGCTCCAAAAGAATGCCGCCCTCGACTTCCAGAGCACAGCATCTGGAGCTGAGGCACCTCTCCATTTCTTTGTATAGGACTGTCCACACTATGAACTGTGGACTTACCTGTCAACTGTGCAGTCTGGAGTGTAAAGTCTGTATTTTATTCAAGTGTAGACTATCAACTCCCTCAGTACCTTTACAAATGCTCGGAAAATGAGTGCGATTGCAAGGTAAGGGTGTCTTAGGATAAGGCAGGAAAGGAAATACAAGGGACTGGGCTGAAGACAGGCTGGGACTAGCGTGTCAAGGGTCTTTCTTCCGCAGGAGAAATTGGACTTTATCCTCCTGGGCAGGCAACAGGGAGCCGGTGAAGGTCGCATTGCAGGAGGATGGTGATGAGGCTTTTTAAGGAAACGTGTTTTGGCACTGTGAGTAATGGACTGTAGCAGAGACCAACTGCGATGCTACTGAAACAAACCAGGTGAGCAGTAACAACAGGCAAAACCACTGGGCGGAGGGGGAGAAGGAAAGAGCTTTTAGGTAGGATTGACAGAATTTGTAACTGCTTGACATGGGAAATGAGGGAGATCTGACCATGGTTTGAGAAATTTATGCTAAAGTTTTTAAAAATTGATCTTGTCTAAGTAGAAGTGCCAGGAAAATGTATTTCATGTTATAACCTCACATCTCAAGGTGAAAATGGATGTTTCTTCTCAAACACAGGTTTGAAAAAAAGAAGACCATGAGGGAACAAAAGGCCTAGTTTTGATTGTTGGAAAGGATTACACAATACAAAGAGAAAATAAGAGATGTAATTCTTTTAGTTTCAGTTTTTTTCTTTTTCTTTTTTGAGACAGGCTCTCGCTCTGTCACCCAGGTTGGAATGCAGTGGTACAATCACAGCTCACTGCAGCCTCCACCTCAAGAGATCCTCCCACCTCAGCCTCCCGAGTAGCTGGAACCACAGCCATATACCACCATACCTCGCTAATTTTTAACAATTTTTTTTTAAGAAATGGGACTTCGACACATTGCCCAGGCTGGTCTTAAACTCTTGGCCTTGGGCAATCTGCCCGCCTTGGCCTCCTAAATTGCTGGGATTACAGGCATGAGCCACTGAACCCATCCATTACCTTCTTTTGTAACAGATAAGACATACATGTCTGCTGGAATGTAGACATAGACAAAAAAGATAGAAGTTTAACCTACCAACTGGGAACAGTGGCTCACGCCTGTAATCCCAGCACTTTGGGAGGCCGAGGCAGGCAGATCACAAGGTCAGGAGATCAAGACCATCCGTCTCTACTAAAAATACAAAAATTTAGCTGGGCGTGGTGGCACGCGGCTGTAGTCCCAGCTACTCGGGAGGCTGAGGCAGGAGAATTGCTTGAACCCAGGAGGCAGAGGTTGCAGTGAGCCGAGATTGTGCCACTGCACTCTAGCCTGGGTGACAGAGGGAAGAGTCAGTCTCAAAAAAAAAAAGTTTAACCTACCAATTTTGGGGCAGAATTCCTAGACTTATACCACATCAATGGGCCTAGCAATGTTAGGATTCAAGAGCAAGAGTAAACTCCTGCAGGCTATCGGTGGAGGTAAAGCAACCACGCACCTAAGCAAGGACACTATCGCCTACTGGGCAGGGCACGTTGTCCAGGTAAGCAAGTTTTCTGAAATATGTACATGCTTTTAATATTAAAGGAAATCTGTCTTATGTGGTTAAATGTTCTTTAAAAACATTGCTATGAATATAATTATTTAACTTGCAAATTCCCTTACAGCTAGGATGCAACAAGGTTTCACAAAGAAGGCAACCAACCTTGATGTCAATAAAGTCGGACATCACCCACTATGGGAAGTCGGAGAGGCTTTCTTCCAAAACATAGAATTGTCAGCATTTGAACACTGAGTAGGAAAAATTATAAGCACAGGCTGGGTACAGTGGCTCCCATCTGTAATCCCAGATTTTGGGGGCCCGGGACCGCACTCCGAGCTCATAGTGCAGACCTGCATAGAGCAAGACCCTGTATCAAAAACCAAAATTAAAAAAACAGTTGTAAGCACAGGTACACAGTTAACCATGAATATGGTATCCCTGAAAAGCCTTTTTAATGGGGGAACAAACCTAAAATTTGGAATAATTGATACATGTGTATATGTAGCCAATCAGAGCAAAAACCAGGAAATCAGGCAGCAAGCTTAAGGGAAATGCAACATACTTTGTTTGGTTTCCTTTTCTTCCATAAAATTGATCGGGGTAGGTAAAGCATACTGCTATACTTCGGAGTCGTCACCATCCTCAAGCAAATGACAGGAGTGTGAACGCCTCCCTGAGCTGCCAAGAGCATCTGACTCGTTCCAACGTGGGCCCGACCCCAGCGCCTCTGGGAAACGTGGTGCTGGGGCCTTGGTCCCGGGTGTGAGTTGGTGGTTCGGGGCAGGGCCGGGGCTTTGATCCCAGGTGTGGGCTTGGGGATTCCGGGGCTGAACCTAGGCCTTGGTTACGAGTGTGGGGCGGGGATTCCGGGCAGGGCAGGGGTCTTGATCCCAGATGTGGGGTTGGGAGTTCGGGGCAGGGCTGGGACCTTGATCCCAGGTGTGGGGTGGGAGTTCGGGGAAGCGCCGGGGCCTCGGTCCCGGGTGTGGGGTGGGAGTTCGGGGCAGGGCCGGGGCCTGGATCCCAGATGTGGGGTTGGGAGTTCGGGGCAGGGCTGGGACCTTGATCCCAGGTGTGGGGTGGGAGTTCGGGGAAGCGCCGGGGCCTCGGTCCCGGGTGTGGGGTGGGAGTTCGGGTCAGGGCTGGGACCTTGGTCCCGGGTGTGGAGTGGGAGTTCGGGGCAGGGCCGGGGCCTGGGTCCCGGGGGTGAGGTTCGGGGCAGAGTCCAGGTCTGGGTCCAGGGTCTGGGGATGGGGTAGGGCTGGGTCGCCGTCCGTCCTGGGCGGCAGACAGGAGTCTTTAACTGGCGCACGCGGTGCGGACCACCAGAGCCCAGCCCTCCGGAAGTCAGGGCCCGAACGGCCCCGCAGCGTCAGGCGCTCTGGCGGCGCCGGGTACGACGGACGGGGCGGAACGCGCTGCGTGCGCGGGGCGGGGCGATGTGCGCGCACGCGCCAATCGCAAGACCGCGAGCAGGGTGTACGCGCGGAGAGGCCAAGAAGGCGGCGGGGCGGGCCGGGCATCGGATGCGCCCAATCAGCTCGCCGCAACGCCATGACGTGAGGCTCTCCCGGGTGCTGAGCGCCAGTCCGCGGGACCGGCGGGTGAGTGCGAGAGGGCAGGGCGCGGGGCGCGGGTCCGCGCGGGGGCGGGACTTCCGCAGGGCCCCGGAAGTGGGAGCTGTGTGTTCTCATGCGAACGGGAAGGAGCGTTGGGGATCTGGAGTCCCGGGGTTGAGACATTTTCGGGCCCAAAAGGGGAAGAATCCGCCGCCGCCGCCGCCAGCCCGCGCCCGCCCTCGCCCTCTCCCCTACCTCCGGCCCGGCCCGGCCGCGCCGCCTCTCCCTGCCGTCTCTCTCCTCGCCGTCCCCGCGTGTGGCGCGGCCACCGGGCCCCGGGGCTGAGGCGAGGAGCCCGCGGGCGGCCGGTCGGGCGGGGCGGCGGCGCTGACAGGTGAGGCACCCTGGGTCGCGGCGGGCGGTCCCTCCCGGCCCAGCTCGGACCCGCGCCGCGCCGCCTGTCACTGCGCCGCCATCTTCCCGGAGGACGCGGCCGCGGCGGGCAGGGCCGGGCCTGGGCCGGTGCCGGGGCAGGGGAAGGCCGGGGCCGGGCTGAGCACCGGGGCTAGGGCACGGGAAGGGCCGGGGCTGAGGAGGACTGGGGCCGGGGCCGGGGCCGGGGAAAGCCGGGGCTGAGGAGGACCGGGGCCGGGGCAGGGAAAAACTGGGGCTGAGGAGGGCCGGGACCGGGGCAGGGGAAGGCCGGGGCCGGGACTAAGGAGGACTCGCCGAGGCGAGGCGGGAGTCGACGGAGCTGGGTGCCTCGAAGACCGGGCGAGGGTCTGGGCCGGGTCCGGGCCAAGGCCGGCGGGGACTGGGGTCGGGCAGGGCCTGGGCGGGGCCGGGGTCGCGGGCCGCGAGCGCCCCCAGGCCCGGCGGGCGCCGGCACCCGCAGTGCGGCGCCAGCCTCGCTGCTCGCCCCTCGGTTCCGCCGGAGCCCGGGTAGGCGGCCGTGCGGGTGCGGGGCGGGACGGGTCATCAGGGCATCACATTCCTTTAGAACCAGGAAGTTGGGATCCTGTTGCTCGGTGTGTGTTTGGAACGCTCTTGTTTTCCTCTTGATAGACTTGAGCGGAGGTAGATCTGAAGGAGTTAAAAAAATAAAGTCGGATGTGAAGATTGCCGGTGTTGGTCTTGGGGCTGGGATACACAGGCGGCAGAGGAGCCGTCGGAAAGCTGCTGCACCTGCCTCTCAGGGTGCGCCTGGGAACGTTAAGAGCCATTCCGCCTCAGTGCTGTTGTGCATCGAAACTTCCTGCGAATGTCATCTTGTTTTTCCCCCTATTTTTACCTAAAACTGTCTTAAGACTTGGCTGAGATGAAACTTGAGAAAGCTGCCTGTAGAAAACTACCTCCTATCTGGCTTTCGTTTGATTCTCGAATAAGTGGATGCCCAATAACTTGTCTTAATAGTAAATTGGAAGTTTGAAGTTTTGGATAACTGAGAAAACAGGAAGGTTTTCCTTGACAGGGCAGTGGAGTTTGTAAGTATAAACAGTATGCGTGAGGCCTTTTTCTAGAGATAAGAGCAACTCCAAGGTGAACATTGAAGGAGACAGACAAGTTATTTTCCCTTTCGAAAGTTTTTTTCTCTTAGTTTCAGTTGTTTGAATATTTAAATGCACTTGAAATAGGTGCTGAGTTGTAGTTTGTGACGACCACAGTGGGGAAGAGTGGTGTCCTCTTTTTCCTTAGTGGTCAGGTGGTGTGTGCAGTGTGCAATTTCCATACTTCCCCAACCTGCCTGGCGCCCCTCATTACAGTCAGGGTAATTTACAGAAGTTGAAATGGTTGTGGCTTTTCAGTTTTTTCCCCTTGTATTTAATATGCTGAAAGGCAGTTTTGTAATCAAACGATATAAGAAATAGCTTAATAGAGGTTTGCTAAGTGAAATGCGTTCCGAAAGACATCAGATTAACAAACTTATTATTTAACCATTAATTTAATTTATATACTTTACTTTGCAACTTGCATTGGTTAGAAATAAATTTTATCCTGTATTTTGAAAAGTTAGTGTGAGTTGAGTTGACTTATTTATATGAAACAAAGGCATGGCTTATTCATTAGAAGTTACCCTCGTGTTGCCTACATTTTCTCAACTGTAACAGGGACATGATGATAATATAATTTTCTTAGGACTGTTTTAACACAGACATGAAAATGTTGACTGTTTTTTGCTATTTTTACTATTACTGATTTCCTCCCCCCCACCCCTATGGAGTCTTGCTCTGTCACCCAGGATGGAGTGCAGTGACACGATCTCAACTCACTGCAGCCTCTACCTCCTAGATCTTCAAGTTATTCTCCTGCCTCAGCCTCCCGAGTAGCTGGGACTACAGGCACGTGCCACCCCACCCGGCTAATTTTTGTATTTTTAATAGAGACAGGGTTTCACCATGTTGCCCAGGCTGGTCTAGAACTCCTGGCCTCAAGTGATCCACCTGCCTCAGCCTCTCAAAGAGTTGGGATTACAGGAGTGAGCCACTGCGCCCAGCTTATTGAATTTTTAAAATATTCTACTTTCTAGCTGTCAATTTATTAGCAGAAAGGTTTTTTTTTTTTTTTTTTTTTTTTTTTTTTTTGCTTGTTTACATGTATCTGGGCAGAGAAAACAGATTCTGAGCACAGAATGCGTATTTGGAGAAAGCAGTTCCACTATTTTTGAGTAGGAACCAGAGAGAAAAAAAGATAACATAGGTACAGTTCTGTAGAAGAGCAGCTGAAATTAAGTGGCAGCAAATTCAGGGAGAAATGTAATTTGATTTAATGTTTGGGAAGATTGCCCTGTTTAAAAGTGAGATTTAAAGAATTTATTGAATTTAATGCAATTTCCATAAGTAAGCACAAGTTTTGACAAGTATATATTTAAGCTGTTTTTGTGAAGTAGTCTTCACATTATCTTAAAATGTAGTTCTAAAATACGTGCAGGCTGGGCGAGGTGGCTCACCATACCTGTAATCCCCGCACTTTGGGAGGCCTACATGAGTTTAGGAGCCTAGGAGTTCACCAGCCTGGACAACAGAGAGAGACCTCATCTCTACCAAACAAAAAATTAGCCACGCATGGTGACTCACACCTGTAGACCCAGCTATTGGGGAAGCTGAAGTGGGAGGATAGCTTGGGCCTGGGAGGTTGAGGCTGCAGTGAGCCATGATCCTGCGACTGCACTCCATCCTGGACAACAGTGAAACCTTGTCTCTCCCCACCCCCAAAACATGCAAATTGGGACATCAAATTGTTAATGGTGTTTACAATGAACAGTGCCTTCAGGTAGCTGCAGCTACTCTACATAGATTTGCAAGTTTTTGTAGTGATAGGCTGTGGTAGATGTTACTAGCCAAGGAGTGGCTGACAAACTCCTTTCACTGTTATTTCATTGTGATGTTAAAATTCATATTTTCCATCAAAATAGTGATAACTAGGATTATAATCTGGGTCTTCCAGTTTTAGTAACCTGTTGTCTATGTTATGGTCTTTTGAGGTTGTAAAAAAGCTATATAGATATGTTACCATCAATTCCATTTGTTTTTATCCTAGTGTTAAAGGTACAAGGTTTTTTTTTTTTCTTCTTTCCTGAGGCAGAGTTTCACTCTTGTCGCCCAAGCTGGAGTGCAATGGTGCATTCTCATTCTGGGCTCACTGCAACCTCTACCCTTGGGTTCAAGTGATTCTCCTGCCTCAGCCTCCCGAGTAGCTGGGATTACAGGTGCCCGCCACCACACCTGTCTAGTTATTTTTTTGTATTTTTAGCAAAGATGGGGTTTCACCATGTTGGCCAGGCTGGTCTTGAACTCCTGACCTCAGGTGATCCGCCCACTTCAGCCTCCCAAAGTGCTGAGATTACAGGCGTGAGCCGTGGCACCCGGCCAAAGGTACAAGTTTTAAATATGTTTTTGTCATGCATGCAGTACTCTTATAGATTCTGTCAGATTTAGGGATATTCTTTTCAGATTGATAAGTTACACAAAACTCTTGGAGTATATATTCTTGCAATTTCTTATACAAAATCCTCAAAACAACCTTTTTCCAATGGGGAGAAGACATGAGCGCTGAAGTCAAGTTTTTGGGAAATGCCTTGTTAAAAACAGACATTGCTATGAGGGTTCGCTTGCTTATGCTTTTTTCTAGAACTTTATTGATGTGAAGAGTTCTCCTTTTTCTGTAAAAGCTTATTTTAGAGTACGAAGTAAATGAGGCACTCAGAGTTAACCTCATCAGGCCTGAGTTTAGTTCAGGTTCAACTTTTTGCTCTTATGCTTGTTGGTATCTTTGTAACTACTATGCTTCTAGAGTTATTTTGATTAGAAAATGAATTCCTTTTTTAGAACATGGAATTGTAAGGTAGAAAACTGCTAGGTTCTCAAAAGAAGGAAGATAAATTCCAACTTGAAAGTTCTTTCCCCTAACATTCTAATGCTTTGTTTTTCCTGTGTGTAAATGCCTTCCTTAGGAACAGGGAAGATTATTAACTCAGCTGTGTTTCCTTTCCTTCTCTTTCTCACTGCCACCCCCCACCCCATACCTTAATACCTTTTGTCCTTTCAATGCCTTTATAAACTCTGTCTTCTCACAGTTTTTCTGGTGAAGCTGTCATGGCTCTGATTTCAACCATAAAGGGTATGCAGTTCAGTGATGCTGCTGGTTTTACATCTTCTTTCCCATCAGCCCCATTGCCCCGGTTAGGAGACCTAGACCATGGAGTATGTTGTAATATTGAAAGTATTTCATGTTTAACACAATTTTTTTTTTTTTGAGACTGAATCTTGTTCTGTTGCCCAGGCTGGAGTGCACTGGCATGATCACGGCTCACTGCAAACTCTG